AGCACAAAAACTGCTTTGCACTCAGTTTGCAATTTTGTAACACACACTTTGCAAAACTGTAGGCACAATTCACTGCACAACACTCAATTACCAAATTTCCAACACATGATGGTCTCTCTTTGAAGTTTAAACCTGATGTTGAAAGAACAGTTTACACTGAACGGTCACAGTTAGTCTGAGGAATAAAATCTGCATACCTACTGACTACTTGTGGGATAAAGCAACAGAAATGAAGACTGGAAATAAAACGAGACGTTTCAGTCACACAGCAGAGTACTCAGCTGTTAGTTAATGTGATGACATTGAGCTGTGTTTGTTCAATAGGAGTTGGTAGCAGATGCAGAGGTGGTTCTTTAACTGATACGGTGGCTTTGAAAACGTTCTCATATCCCAGCACACAGAGTAAATCATGTATTATTATGTGAAGTGGCGATAAAACCGAATTAAAAATTGAAAAGAATCATTCTGTGCTGTAGTTGTGTTTATCTCCTGCATCTCGGTCACTTCTAATGACACATAAATCAATGTTCAGAAGTCCTTGCTGTGTGTGAGACACTGACAGATGAAGCTCTTCTTCTCTTCGTGTCTTTGAGCGGCTGCTTCGATCAACTACTTTTGTTTTGATTGTCATGATCACGGTCGCTCTCACTGTGTGCGAGAAAATCTGGATCCTGTTCTTATATGAATGATGCTAATCTCCATCTGTCGTTATCATAATCTGTGATCATCCCAGCACTGAAACAAGCTAACAGTTCACCTGTAACTCCGTTTGTAATCCACATGTCTGAACGACAGATGAACGTGATCGGCTCAGACGCTACTTGTCTGCATTTTTATTCTCTCCTTTGTTCTGCAGCTTAAGGACTGAAGCAGTGTGTGCATTACACCAGAGATTTGGATTTTCTTCTGCTTTTAATAAGCCTGAACTAACAGAATGCTTTCTACTCTATTTTGCTTGTAACTGTAGGTTTTTATATGAAATAAAACCATTTAAGCACAAACATCATAAATGATCTAAACATCAGATATTATCTGAGGAGTACCAGCCAGACAGAGTCAGGCTCACCTTAATGCACAACTTGGGAGAGAATTTTAAAACCTTGACACACTGATCATCAGACACCTTCACGAGACAGTGAGTAATGTATCAAGCTTGAGTATGAGCACTCAAATATCTGTGGAGATTCTTTTCTGAGGTCGGGTTACACCGAAGGACGGCTTTGTCACTCCCTCCTTGACAAAGCAGTCAGAGATGTGCGTATAGTGCTTATCACTGCTAATCAAGCCAGTAAAGTAAGATGTTCTTGCAGCGTTTAGTCAGTTGAACAAGGTTAATAAGGTCTTTTTCCACATCTGTTCAGCTTTCCTACAGAATATAATCCTGCATCCAAGAGGAAGGATTGACGGTTTGAAATAAGCTGTATTTTAAGGGGCTACACAATGGAGAGCTAATCGACATGTATTATTAAAACAATTGAGGTTATCACAGATTTTTGAAAACGTGGATGTTTAAATAAGCGCAGAGAGATTAGAATATAAGTGCAGAATTCAGATATAGCTTCTGAACTTTAGAATGAATTATGTAGTTTTCATTTTGTGGAGTATTTCTTACTCGGCTTGTTTACACTCTGCCTGAGCACTCACACCACTTTATACAACATGCCTCATTAATGGCACAAGCTTTAAGTGCTTTCTATCCCACACTCACACTGCAGTGGGCTGTGGAGAACAACCTGGGGTCAGCATCGTGCCCGAGGATATTTGGCATGCAGACTGATAGATGTGCTCCCTTCTGAACCACAGCCACACTATGAGATCACATCCTTCTAATTACAAGAATTATGTTTCTTCCCTCAGGAGTTGGGATGATGGGCAGTGAGTACGACTGAACATAGAGATGGGAGGAGCTGAGGAAAGCATGAAAAGCCAAATTCTGTTGAGACAGAATAATTGGCTATTTATTATTTGACTCAATGGCACGTAAATCAATTCATAATCCTGGTAATGTGTTTTTCTTTCAGAATCTCTGGTTGCTATGCTCTCTCACAATTAAAATGAATCCACAGTTCATTTCTTTTCAAACTCAGAGTCTTTTTATCTTTCATGTTGTTTTTACATTGTTCTAGTGCAACACTCAGGCTGTAGTTTCCAGTTCCTGTGTATTATCTGCACACATGGTTTCTGACAACAAAGCTGACTTTGACTTGGAACATGTCGTGTCAGCAAAAGCTCTGGATAATGTTTCAGTGAGTCCTGTTCTCCAGACAAGAAATGCTATTTGGCAATAATAGCAATAATTTTCCACATGGAAAATCTTTCTATACAACTTTGTTTGCAGTGTGAGCTTCACTTCTATGTGTAGAATACAAACACTCATGTTCTCTTGTCCTCTTATACTCTGTTCAGGTCTGTTGAAAATAATGTCCCAGTGGAAAAGCTTGTTAGTTTAGGCCTTTATAGATTCTGATGATCTCTGAGCAGCAGCAGAAGGAAATAAACCTCCAACAGAACGAACTCTGGGAAATCCAGTCATCTTTTCACAGGTGGGGATGAGGTGAGAGAAACAAAGAGCTTTTAGAAATAACAGTCAACAAACACATTATTGGGATGAAGTCCTTTCAGCCTCTGTGCGACACACAGACAACCTCCCACAGACACAGACACACACAGACAACCTCCCACAGACACAGACACACACAGACAACCTCCCACAGACACACACAGACAGACTGTAGACAGATGAAACGAACATATATTGATGAACTCAGGATGACCTACTAGCCTTGTGTACATGTGAGAGCTTCAGGTATATAGAATTACTGAAGGCTGTTGTTGAGTGTTAGTAAAAGGCGTACATGTGACAGGCGTGTACTCTCTGACGTGAAATGTTTCTGAGGCCAAGGTAAGGCCAAGCTGGGCAGCCAAGACCAAGAAATGGACCAAACCCACCAGAATTGTTATATGTAGCAACGAGCAGCACTTTGCATGTTGAAGGACACGTGTATCAGCAGGGGTGGCTTACCCAAGAACACGAGCCACTCTTCTGTGGTCCTTGTGTGGTTCTGGGGCACACCGCTCCTCCTGGCTGCCTGACCCACGTCTTCGCCTTTCACCTTGAATCATGTTCGCTGAAGCCAGAACTTTTCTATGTCTCACAAAAAAACAAATCATCTGTTCACCAGCCTTTATGTTTATCAGTAGGCTGGCTTTATTGTGCTCATTAATGCTGCAATAAGGACATAGTTAAAGCCTTGTATTCTTACTTGTATTGTTCCAACAATCGTGCTGGGTCAGGGGTGGCAAACTCAATCGCACAGGGGGCCAAAGGTCAAGGCACGCTTTAGGTCTCGGGCCACACAAGATAAACATTTATTGAACACTAAAACAATGTTTTTAAACATATATATGAATTAAAAAAAGACAGGAATATTATTAAATAAACTTCAAAAAATAAACTTTAAATATTTTGCTCTCCATAAAAATATATCCTGTCAAAATTACACAAGTTAGAAATATGAACATGCTGCCAGAAACCCAGAAAAATAAATGAGAGCAAACACAAGGTTGGAGCCGCATGTAGACGAGCTGGGCGCTGCTGCAGGAGTGCAGCTAATAAACTGTGTGGGCCAGTCAGTGTCTTTCCCTGAGTGCATCATTACACTGCAGCTGCAGCTGCATCTGCACAGGTGTAGCTCAGCAAAGTGCGCTGACTTGGTTCAACATTACTGCAACAGGGAAAGTGAGGCAGGCTGCACTGGTGCATTAGTGACAGCTTCACTGCGTCACACCATGATGGGATAGATGGGTCTCATAGGGTCAAAAAAGTTGGATTTGATGTGCTTTCGCCTGCAGTGTGAACGTAGCCTAAGACTACTAAATGAAAACACGTGGCTCAGTAGCACAAAAGACCACTAAAGCTAGGAAACACTTATTTCAAAAGCATGTGCTTTACTAACTATAAGAAGCTAACATTTTTAATAGCTCACCTGAGTGCCTGCATCATGCACACTGGCTGTGTCTTCAACACTGTAGCCCACACCGTTTACTGCATGTCACTGACTGGTAATCTGAAAGTGTGTGTGTTGTCCAACTGAACCATATCCTTTTGGTTTTTTATTTGGCAATATTGAGTTTGAAAATCATCAAGATGACATTTGCCATAATCTGGAGGTACTTAATGAACCGCAGACGCACAAAGATGCTTCTGTCGCCGTTTCACAGAGGTTTTTGGTTTCCAAGCAGTTTTCAGCCGAGTCCTCTGGGCTGCTGTTAAAGCTCCATGCTTGAGTTAGGACTTGGGTTTTGTGTTCTTCTACAAAAAGGTTTGAGAGACCATTTTATTTCCTTTTCTTTTCTTTCTTTGCACACTTGAAATGTATATAGTTGGTGTACTAATAGATCATCTAATGACTTTTATTTTACATGGAAGTCATTCTAAACTGTCCTTTTCTGTCTCATTTTCCAATTGGCTGTTCACCAAATCACTGTTCAGGTTGCTCCCCAATTTCAGGGGTGTCCCCAGTCATTACTGGGAAGAACAAAGGAACACACTGTTGGCATGTTTTATTTCATCTAGTGTGGATAATGATGAGTAAAAGACAGCTACCTTCACCATGCAAACAACAGTGTGATACAAAGATGAGGTTATGTATCTCTGTGTTGACCATCAGTCAATATGACAAATTAAACAGCAGTGACATTTTATCTGGGTGGAGGTAAAAACCATTGTTATAAAGCGAAATGCCAGCAAGCATGGAGCTAAAATAAATAACAGTGTATTTTAGTCTGTTTTGTTCTTGGTTTTGAGTGAAGGTACAGAAACAGTATATAAGTGCTGGTGTTCGGTTCAGCACCTGCACACTTGAAGGCTGAAGTTACAAGCTGACACTGATAACAGGGAAGATAAGGTATTATATCAAATGCTTGCTGGGAAGTGTCAGATTATTGTCTATCTTTTCTTTTATAAACGACCTACTTTGAATTTTCTGATTTGTACAGAGATGCTAAACATCACCATGAAGCTGCTGACTGTGTCTACACTTCTCTGTGCAATGGTGGCTCTGGGCACTGCTGCTGGTGAGTATTCCAGTATACTGAGCATCATCTATACATCTTATGCATGAATATATTAAACTGAAAATTATAATGAAAATCAACATTTGCTGTTGTCTAGCACTTCCAGATGAAGTGGCCAGTAATGGGACAGAGGCATTAATTTCAGCAGGTCAGTGGACTTTTCAGGTTTGAAACCAAAACTAATCACATTTTTATCATCAGTACATCAGCTTTCCTACGTCAGCTTTCATAAATTTGTTTTCATGTGTGATGGACAAGTACATTTATAGCTTTAAAAAGTTCATCTTTAACACTTAGATAAAAACACATTTTTCATGAATTTTTATTTTAAAAACTTTTCCGACACAGTAAAGTAGCTCAATATTCTTGATTGTCTTCAGCAGAACATCATGTTGAGAAGGAGAGCAGCATCTTGTCCAAGCGGCTGGACTCAGTATGGGAATCGATGCTTTCTCTACGATAACCGTCAAATGACTTGGGCTCAGGCGCAGGTAAAGCACTGATGTGAATTTATCATTTATCCTTTTGTGCAATCTTAACTCTTTCTGTTTACGTTGTCATTTCTATAAAACTCAGTCTGTTGATTCCATTGTAGCGAATCTGCCAGTCCTTGAATGCAAACCTGGCATCTGTAAACAGCAACGACGAGTACCAGTTCATTCGAGCCGTCATATCTAGTGCCTCTCGTGAAAGTGGACTAACATGGGTTGGTGGCTCAGATGGTCAACAGGTATATCACTTATCATTATTCAGAGGACCCTCCCCCATTAGCAAGCACGTGGTGACAGTGGGGAAGAAAAAACAATTTTTAACAGGAAGAAACCCGAGGCAGAACCAGGCTCAGGGATTAGTTCCCACCTGCAGTAGATATGGAGGTCTTTAAGATGGATCTGATTATTCAAGACTTTAAAATTCCTTCTTCATATTATTGTATCTACATGCACATTTAGAACTTGGAACTGTAGCTTATTTGTGAACATATTCTTGCCTACGTTTTTCTGTTTTCTAGGAGAATTACTGGTTTTGGATTGATGGAACCTATTTCACATTTACGCAGTGGTGTCACGGAGAACCTAACAACGTTGGGGGAAACGAGCATTGCTTAATGGTGAATTTTCAGGTAAACCTAAAAGCACAATGTAAGAGCACTATAAATGTTAAAGAAAAAAGGAAACAATACCCAGAATCCCCCAAAATAATCTTTATGCATTTAATGTGACAAACAGTGATGAGTGAAAAAATGTCAGCAGTACATTTTTCTATCATATTAATTATTTACATAGTGTTTTGATGCAATACTAAACACATGTATGTGTCAGGTGCTGTTGTTATACAGAACAACATATTTAGATCAGTGATCATTTCTCCATGTGATTGTGATTTCAGTTCATGCTGATTTTGTGTACTTACAGGAAGCAAGTGTTGGAATGATGGGAGATGTGACAGCCAATACCCATTTATTTGTGTCAGGGCCATCTGCTGATTCCTGGGCTCTCATGAAGGCGTGGCCTACCTGACGACAGAGCAAATCCTCTAATATATCACAATAAGAATCTGGTTCTGATTTGATTTACTTCTTTTCTTTTACTGTAATGCTGCATAAGGAATGAAGCGACAAGTGACATAAACTGGAGTTGCTCTTTTAACAGGAGCAGACTGCATGTGCACTTGAAAGAATGCGTTTAGCAAAACGTTGTTTCCCAGAATGAATTGTTGTTTCTCATCTTCTTCATCATTAAAATCTTAAGCATTGAATCAAAATGGTCTGTGCATTTAAATGCTTCATGCTTATCAGTGTGCTCTTAAATATCACATACATCCTCACTGTAAAATCTAACTAGTTCTCTGAGCTTAAAAAACGTATGCAAACGCATTGACTAGAAAACAAAGAGACACTAACAACGCCTGATGACTAAATTAGGACGACTTAATCATTGTGAGTACAAAGTACTACAGATGACTTCATTTTTTCTGAGTGAGCAATACTAATGGTTTATCCACTGAAAAAGATTTGAAATCTAACAAAATAAATATATATAAATTTTGTGGTAGCTTACTATTTTAAATTTTGCTTATGTTTTATCATCCTTGAACTTGAGATTTATAGTAGAACACTTAAAGACTATAAGTATGGCTAAAAAATAACTATCAGCATTTCTTCTAATGCAGTTAAACTCAGTCCAACGGTGATTTTCAAATGCAAGAAAGTATATCAGTAAACATCTTGGACACTGTTCTGCTAAATATCAAACAAGCATATTCCTACTATTGTGTCTTGTGCTGTTTAATAATACTTAAACAATTATTAAATTGGTATTTGTATTTTTTTGTTACACAATTTAAAACTTTTAAAAACGTATAATAAAGTATTTCTCAACCTCATGCACTAGCTCACGCTGCCTATGCACTGCAGAATGCTAAAGAAAAAAAAACTTGTATGAACAGCACACAAGAGTGAAAACAGATATAAGATGCCTAGAAAAATCATATAAATGAAACATGTATGTTTTGGATACTTATGTGAAAGTAATGAGAAAGTGGCCACTTTCATGAGTAAATCACGTAAGCCTGATATGATTCACTATATGAAGCAGGCCACATCTTATGCAGGTCTTTTATAAGTTTTTCCTATTTCTTTTCCATATGGGCAGAAACACAGTCAGCCCAATATTTATGTACTAAAACCAACTATGGTCAGTTGACAGCTTAAGTTATAATTATTTAATTTTTCCACAGAGCCATATCCACCCCTGCTTGTGTCACTCAAGAATGTGAGTTTGATTGATGACCCTAGCCTTGACCTTTTGACCTTACCGGAAGTACTCCGGAAGTGACTAATCGATTCCAGGGCTGTCCCAATTAAGAGACCACACGCTTGAAGTACGCGCACTACGCGTACTACGTACGGTGCGTACTATAAGTACGAGAAGTGCGGAAGTGAGAGGCGTGCTGTTCAGGTTGCCTAGCAACCATGATACTAACTGCGAGAAACGTTAACCTCTTCGACATGTCAATGGCTGTGAACAAAGAGAAAGTTGTAAATAACTCATGAAAGAATAAAGTTACGTTGAAACCAAGCACACCATTGTTTTTCTTGTGACATTACCAATAAGTTTGATGTGTCACATGACCCTCTTCCTATTGAAAAACAAAAGTTGTATCCAAGATGGCCGACTTCTAAATGGCCACCATGGTCACCGCCCACCTTGAGGAGTTTGCCCCCTCACATATACTAATGTGCCATAAACAGGACTTTAATATCACCAACCATTCCCATGTTTTACAGTGTATCCATATAAATGGCCCACCCTGTAATTGTGTTCAGTACACTTCACTACAGTGGGATTTCGGAAATATATAAATACGGACAACAGGCTCTTCCACGGCAATCTCTTGTCGTCAATAAGCAACGTTTAGGGAGCTCTATAGTATTCAATGAGAGACCCTGCACGTCAGTTTCGACGCGAGGGGTACCCTGCGCGTCTAAGTGAAGCAGAGGGAGCCTGACCATGCGTCACACGTTTGACGAGTTGGGAGTGAGAACGTGTTGCTCTGGCACAGCTACAAGCCATGTGAGCTCGTAGCCCCTCCCACTAGGATGTACTACCACAGTTCGACCGTCGTAAGCAGCCGCAAACCAATAGCAATACAAAAACCCTCAAAATCATTGAAGAACATTTGATAACCGAACACCCAATACAGATATATACATATATACTGAATATCACACAATATCAGATCACCAAATTAACACTGGGTTACATTAACATTTTACCACAACTTCACCAGATGTAGCTCAAGCGCACCCCCAGACAGTGCCAGCAGATTGAAACTGAAAAACAAAAAATGTGATACAAAAAATGTAGTTTTCAATTAGTTGTTTTTTCACTATCATTTTTTTTTAACTTTCAATACAAGAGTACATTTATTTCAGTTACAATATTGTTTTTCAGTTTCATTTTAAGGTGGCATTGTTCTAACCCCATACGGATTCTGACTGAGAGACACTGTGTTCGGCCACCATGTGCTGAGATCAGTGAGCACATACTACACACACAGTTAGTTTTAGTTTGTTTTGCACTTTATTGTTGAGTAACTGAATTTCTCTAAATTGTTTTGATTTATAATTGTCGCATTTGCAATAACTTTGTTGGATTGTAAGGTTTAATGTTTTCATATATTATTTGGAAAAGTGTTTTACAATACGTTGCATTAATGCATAGTTTGTATAAGAGAGATGTTTTATTTTTTGTCATTTATGTCAAATATGACGTCATCAAACTTCTAAGTTGTGAATTACAGCTAGAACAGCATAATTAATATTTGAGTTGCTGACCCCTTCTGTTGACAGGTCTGGTTTATTGTACACTGGATTGTTCCTGAGGTGCGAGCCTTCCCACCTGGACTTTGAAAGACTGAGATTCGCTTCTTTCTTGATGATCTGCTGCACTTTGCGTTGTGGTAGGACTGTATCACTCACACTTCACACACAGCTGGTTATAACACCACTGACTGACATTTTCTCATCCTATTTTCTTTCACACCCTGGGAATTTTTTGACTATAACCCTTGGACATGTTTTATTTGGGACTTTGAAATAAGCTGTCGTGTAGAACATTCTCCACATGTGAAAGGTGTGTGAGATTTTCATCTGAATGAACAAAGGAGCTTGCAAAGAAAAGCGTCTGGACTTCTTTAAGTTGCTTGAAGACGTTTCACCTCTCATCCGAGAAGCTTCTTCAGTTCTAAGGTCAAATGGTGGAGAGTCCCAGATATAAACCTAGTGGGAGTTTCCCCCCACAGAGGGACAAAAGGACCCCTGATGATCCTCTAATCACCTGAGCCAAGGTGTGAAACTGGGTGTGGGTCCCAATCAGCCAGAGTTTCGGGTGATTCATTGTGAAACCTGGCCCCACCTTGTCATCATTATCCAGACGCTTTTCTTTGCAAGCTCCTTTGACTACGATGACCTGGATGACTGAGAACCTTCACAGACATCTGAATGAACACTGAATTTGTGTAATCTGCTTTCTATAACAGTTAAGGAGGCAGGTTACTAGGGTGTCCCAACATTGAGATCAAAAGTTACTATTTTTATGTGTTTTACTTTGCTTTCATTTGTTGTTCTTTTCTACAATTGTAAATCGCCTTTAACCTGTGGTTGTCAAACTCGTGCTTTATTTCACTAAAGCCGGTTTGTTCTTTTGAGTTACATTCTTGTCTCTGTGCTCATTAAAACACACCCCTGTGCTTCTATAGTCGAACCTATTGGCCCATTAATATATTCTGTAATTAATAATAATTAATATTGTCTTTTCCCGTTATTGTGTTACACAACCATGTCCAGGTACAGTACACAGTGAAACGAGAATATGTTCCTGCTTAAACGGTGCTCAAACCGGTGCTTAAAGAATAGAGAACACAAAATTGGTCCAAAAACCTCTCATGTTCAGCTGGTTTTTTGTAAAAAGATAACAATGTTAGCCTTTTCTGCAGCTATGGGGCATATATGGTATCACTCTTGGCTGGAAGCAGTGCTTAATCAATGGAAAAAACACAAACTTTGTCCAAAAACCTCTCATGATTAACTGTTTTCCACTTTTTCTTTGGTCATTTTAGCCTTTTTGGCCAGGGTGAAGGGAGCATCTGCCATCAAACAAGAAAGACAGCTGCATGTAGCTATGATGATGTTTGCTAGTTCACCTTACATGCATTAATGTAATAACGTGGTTAGCCTACTCAAAGTAAATTACACACGAGCAACATTAAGCTACTCACGCAGAGAAGAACGGCTGCTGCTGCATCATCATCCTCATCATTTCTGCTACACTGGCAGGGCTAGGGGCCAGGACTCTATTCTTCGGGTTTTTGGGGGATGTTGCTAACTCCGGGTCTGATAACAGGCACATCACCCGCAGTAGATGCGCTCGGTGTGAGGTCTCGCAGCAAGCTATCAAATACGGCGCATTTCTCTGCTTTTAAAAAAACGCTATGCGTCGCCAGGTGTTTCATCGGATTCGAGGTGTTACCTCCTTTGACAGTATCACAGTATCACAGTACCTTCATCTATTCGAGAGCGGAGCTGCTGGCACTAAACAAAGGGACAGACCGGCATGCGACACAACATCCCGGCCGAGCTAAAGAGGAGCTACAGAGGCTGCAAAGCTGGAGCGAGGAGAGCGGATCACCGGAGGCGATTCAAACCATCAATCCCGACAGTGATCATGGGCACCGTGAACTCGTTACAGAATTGATGAACTGTGCGCTCTGAACAACCACAGACTATACCGTGAGTGCAGCTTGTTTATCTTCACGGAGACGTGGCTAACCGAGCTAACGCCGCAGGCTAACGTAGACCTATGCGGTTTCACATCCGTGAGAGCCGATAGGGACACGCAGGCCAGCGGAAAAAGCAGAGGTGGGGGACTCATTGTCTACGTTAACAACAGATACTGTAACCCTGGACACGTCTCCGTTAAAGTTTCGGTATGCCGTCCGGACCTGGAGCTGCTAGCTG